CCCCAAGTGTCCATTATAGACACCCTTTTGGGTACACTTATGTACTCATAGCATTTTCTTTCCCAAAAATAAGCATTGATTTGAAGCATCAAATTGGAAAAAACTGATTTCAATATTTAAATTGTATTATTAGACACAAATGGTTATTTTTGTTTTTTTTCTTAAATTTGTTTTCAATCATATATTCTATTAATAAAATAATTTTATATGTGAATCAATAATTTTTTCATACTTTTTAACTATATATTTTTCAAAAAATTCACTTTTTACAGAATCTATTATCAAAAAATCCTCACCAAACAGTCAATGATAGTAGCAAATCCTCCTCCAGGATACTAAGTATTATCCATATGTAAAATCATAATTATAATACGGGCATTTTAGACAAAAAATGAGAACCGACGTCGATTAGAGCTTAAGATTCGACATTTCATTTGTCCGTCTTCCTTTTGCTCTGGATTTAAATCATTGGTCCTTCGATGCTATCATCGATTCCTTGTATAAGCTGTTAATTATATGACCAAAGGACAGATTAGACACAAAAACATTTGAACGGATTCTGCTACGAACACTATAGACGAGAAGCAATGACGGATTTTGTTATAGGTGAAGAATGATGAACGAAAAATTCTGTTTTTCATCACAAATCGAGAGAAGCGATTAATCTTGTCCACTGTAAATTTATAGTTTGTTAGATGTACATTCTTGTGTACATTTTCCATGACATTACCCCTTATGCGGTCCAATTTGGACAGTGATGTGAAAATGTATTTAGGAAATCAAAAATTATGATAATGACACATGAAAGAACGTAAAAAGTTAAGGTAAAGAAAGATGTACATGTAGGATGATTTAAATTTATAGCACGACGGATTTGAGACAACAATCAAAAAATAAAATAAAATAATCAAAAATTTTAAAAGCTCTATGTGTTATTAAATTAGTGGGATTACCTTCGATACATGATTAATTCTGATTTTCTAACTAGGGGTGGACATTTTTTTTCCAGAACTTATAGAACTAGATAGGAACTAGTAGAGCAGGTCGGTTCGATTTTGAGTTTGATTTTTTCTAAAAATGGATCAATTTTTGCACCATATATTGAGAACCGTTCGATTCCAATCCGATTTTAAATAATGCCTCGAGAACTACTAGTGAATTCGATTCTTCCGAATTTTTCTTTTTTTATATTGCATGTACTGAGATGCACCATATTTTTTTAACACTAGACCCCAAAATTATCTTTGTTAGAATAACTTTATAGGTAATCAAAATCCAAATATATCACTTTATAAATACTTTACAAATTCATAACTTTAATGCAATCCCAATAAGAAAAAACAATATTTTTAGTTCAAATTTTTTGTTGTTTCCAAAGTGGACGGCCATCAAGAATCGAGATCATTTTAGGATTGCCAAAAATAATTAGGTTTTAAATACTTTATGTATTTTTAAATTATATATTATTGTACGAAATTTCTTAAGAATTAATATTCGATCAAACGGTCTTTTTTTTCTCCTTTATGAGTCAATCTTGAGTTTTTTTAGTGAATATTTATTTTTTGCTTTGTTTAATTGATTTTTTGTATTGTTAGTTACAAAAATGACAAGTGGTTTCATACTAGCCATTGTTTGAGCACCGTTTTTTAATAATACATTTTTTTAAACTCATTTTCAATCATATATTTTTTCAATAAAATAATTTTACACGTAAATCTAATTTTTTTCATACTTTTTAATCAGACATTCTCCAAAAAATCACTATTTCAAAATCTATTTTTACCAAATAATGGGGCACAAACAAAGGCTATATATATTTTCAATTTGATAAGTAATTTTTTCATACTTTATTATTATGACTGTTCGATATAAAAAATTGAATCAGATCAAACTAGAACCAGTTTGGTTTCTATAGTTGGATATGAAATCAATGGTTCCATTTCTATGATTCTCACTGGTGCTTGGTTTAATTCGATTCTTTTCAAAATCGGATCGAATCAGATGGTACCTACTCTTATTTCTAACTAAAATGCTACAATATTCAATCCTTGTTCTTGAATTTTCTAACCCTCCAATCTTTTTTATATTCTCCAAAATACTGGCGCACAGACGAATGGACGCCAACAGACAAAAACTCTTTTTAAACTAAAGTTAGGAGATTGGACTCCTCACTAGAGGAACAAGAATAAAATCTCACTTTTTCACTCATTATCTTTGAAATAGTAGTGAGGTAAATTCCGTATTCTTCCTGACGTGAATGATGTTCTGGGTATTCCGATCAGTGTTTACTGCCTGCAAAATGAAATCGAGGCTTTCTCCCCCATTTTACCTCCAGCGTGAGAATTAGTATACGGTTTAAGAGTGTAGGAAGATAATATATTGAAATTCAATTAGTTCGGGTTTTTAGAAGAACAAACATTTTTTCATACTGGGGTATTTATAGGCGCCTGATGACACACCTTTATTCCATGACTAATTGTGCCACTGTCCCACGTACGCTTTCCCACTTCCTCACGTTCTAGAGTTGTGACCCCGACTCGCCAAGCTATTGGTTGTGTCCATATTCATTATTGGGTGGTTTTCGTCTATCTCATAACCATTTATTTGACTAAGTATAGTGGGGATCGACGGCCTCATAGTGGTAGACGGTCTATGTGAAAGTAGAGAACCTCATGGGGGTCGACGGCATCATAGTGGTAGACGGCCTATATGAACGTAGAGGGCCTCATGGGGGTCGACGGTCTCATAGTGGTAGACGACCTATGTGAACGTAATGGGCCTCACGAGGGTCGACGACCTATGTTGTGGTGCTTTACAGAGGATGCATATTAAGTAGCCGGCCATCGTGGAGAAATGTTAACACCATCTTATATCATTCTGCTATGCATCAACCAGTGTTGTGCAGATGCCCTAGTCGGCCGCTCCCTAAGTCATAAAAGTAAAACCTTTACTCGATGGTTTATATATATATTGGACGAATATAGTCATTTTCTACAATACTATATAGTAATATACGGAAACCATTTATGATAGAATATGTTTGTATACAACATAACATTATTTTGAATTAGTATAATTTGAAAAAGTTTTTCAGTTCGTTAAATTTTTGCTGGGGTGACGATTGGCCTTTGGCCAATATCGTCATACTTTCTGGATCAAATTTTATCGTTGAGGAGTCCTTTTGGCCTTTTTTCTGTTTTAAATTAGTTTAAGGGTATTTTTATTATTTTTACAATTTCTTAATTTTTGTGGATTTGAAAATTTCGCTTTTGACGCTTTAAACGTGTTAAGGATTTGAAAACGTCAGAATCGTTTTTGAATAATAATATTTCAGTTTTCCGTTAATTATATTTCAATTTTTCGTTACCTACTGGATTCCTGGATTTCTCACGCACATTAGATACAAAATTCGAGCAACACCCGTTTGTGTATTAAACTTTTATTATTATTCGTGTTTCCATCCTACATCTCTCTCCCACTAGTCTATACTATGTAGATTTGTTCTTGCATCGGTCATATTCTTGGTTGAATAAATATAGTGGGTTCCCTCTGCGGAGGCTAAATACCTTAACTTCAGAATCTGTTTTTCCTATTGGGCCCAAAACATGTTGCAAGCGATAACTCTTTTGAAGAACAGGTAAAACCCAGCCCACATTAATTTCGTGGACGTTTGATCCAGCAAAATATAAAGCAAATATGTCCATTGTGATAGGAGACTTTGCTATAGAATGGGATAGACTAATTTTTCAAACAAATAACATTTTTATTTATTTATTTTCACTTGTCAAAGCTTGATTGCATGTTTGGTTAAGCTTAAAATCCAATTAAAATTGAAAAATATCGTTATTGGGTTCCACTCGTCTAATAAAAGTCAACAATAACTGCTAATTTTTCAATTTTAATCTCTACCGAACATGTCCTGAATATAATTTGAAATTAAACAATTCTTTTGAAATTATTGCTTTTACGCTTGTTTGTCAAATTTTAATCATGTTTCCTCAAAATCATCTTCAGCTAAACATTCCATAGGTTTTGTAACTTTTTTCACAGTTTTTAACGACACATTCTTTAAAAAAAAATTTCTTCTTTGTGCTAAACAAACATTTGTAATTCCATGGAGCTACAAAAATGAGGATTGCCTTTATTTCAGGCCATTTCCATGTATAAAATCAGAACTTTAATAAATTTTTTAAAAAATAATGAAATATATGATTTGAAAAATTGTAAATTCAACAAATTTTATTATTAAAATTAATCGTTGACTTTGACTTAAATTTTTTATTAATTTTTAATCTACATCAAACTAGGGCTATACCAATATAGTAATACAATGAAAATTTTGTGAACTCGGTGGGTGTTTGATGTATATTATTGAGGAAAAAATGTATTTTAAATAATGATATGATGAAAATATTATTTTATTGAAAAATGCGTGTTTGAAAATGAGTTTTGAAAGAATGTATTTTGAAAGAATTTGTGTCAAACATGACTCAGATTGTCAAAAAGCTTATAAGCAAAAATAATAATAATAAACCTCCGTTTGTTTCTCATTTTTCATCAATAAAAATGAAAAATATGATCGTTATCCATTACATCAAGCCATTAATTTTGAATTTTTATATCTCGTGTGAGACTCAATAATGACTATATTTTTTATTCTCATTCTACAATAATGAGAATCAAACGGGACGTAAAACTTATAAGCACAAGAATATCTTCTGACAACCTGCGACTTTTAACGGGTACAATGAATAATGCATTAATGCTCAATAAATAAAACGGAAATAATAGGCATGGCACGTGACTAAAGGAGGTACAAAATTTGTCACACGTACTACATACATTATTAAACTCAACATGTTCAAATAAATTATAAGATGTGGATAATAAGTTGGCAAGAAATTATAAAATGATGGAAGCTCAGTTTGATTTATAATTTACATAAATACACGACATGGGAAAATTAAAATTAAAATTAATTATACTGGTTTTGAAAATAATTAATAGACTTTCTTGGTAAAGAGGCTTCGGATATTAAATAAATGTCTGCCACTTACTCCTTCACCGGAAACACTTCCGCCGGATTCACCACCACCAGACGCGGCGGCGGCAGCAAAAGTACCAATTGAACTATTTTCATCACTTCTACATCCCAAATTATGCCGGTAACCTATACACGTAGGAACATTCAGATTCAATACCCTTCCTTTGGCCTTACCGACATCGCTGGCTGTGGAGATTTTCCGATGATTTTCATTCCGGTCTTTTATGACCCCCTTTTCAGCAAAACTCTTCACTACCGCCTCAGAGCTCCGTCCAACCGAAGCTCCACCGCCGCAACGGCGTACCTGCCAGACAGGGCTGCTCCTTCCTAAGTGGACCCCACCTCGGCTAGGACTGCTTGGCCACTTCCTAGACTTGGACTCACCAGCAGAGTTACTCCTCGAGCATGGTGCACTACTTACCTTTCGTGTCGCCGCTGCGGATCCAGCCCCCGTCCGCGGCCTACTTCCGCCGTTCCCGGCAGATCTACTCCTTAAGAAAGGCCATATATTTATGTTCAACTCCGCCGTACTCACCCCATTACTTCCACTAACACCAACACCAACACACTTCTTCTCTCTCTTCTTCTCTTTACAACTATCCTTCTCTTTACCAGTACTACAATCTGAATTACCATTACTAACCGTAACTGAGTTTTTCTTATCACTTTTCTTGAATATATCCTTCCACCGCTTAGAGGAAGTAAATGCGGTAGTTAATGACAAACGAGCTAATTCAGCAGTACTCTCCTGTACTTGATCCAAGCCCGATGGTTCAGCCTCTTGCGGCGGCGCTGGCGGTGGAGGATGAGGGTCAGATTGTTCGTCTGATAATTGTGTCTGGAGGAGCTGCAGTGGAAGGAGTACACCATCGGAGAAAAGCTCATCGGCGGAGTGTAGATTAGGCTGAGGGAAAGATGGGTTCCGGATCATCCAGAACTCGAATTCAGGTGAATTTGAATCACTGCTTAATCTTCTTCCACTGCTGCATGGTGAGAGCATTCGAGGGAGGCGTTCTGGTTCCTCCATTGTTGTTGAAAATGAGAGTTGAGAGAAGTTTTTTCTTAGTTTTCAGTTGTGTGGTCTTATTTTAATGGAAAAAATTACTCTTTGGGAAGAAGACACCACATGCAATAAAGAAAGTGGGGAATGAGTATTAAAGAGACAGAAAGTGACATTTTAGTAGAGGGGCATTATGGTCTTTTCGACTCAAGAAGAGGAGGAATATGGATTTAATAAAATCACTTCTCTCGATTTGTGTTCTATATTTATTTAAAAAATTGTTGTTTATTTCGAGTATATTTTATTTTTTTATTAGTAAAATTTGACCAAGTGAGTTGTATTTTTATTGTTTATTTATGTATTATTATTTTTGATAGATAAATGTAAATTTTCATTGATCGAAATTCATATACAAGTACACCTGGCGTATTCGAGCAAATAAGAAACAAGTAAAATACAATTACTCTGGACATACTCGATCAAGTCAAAAGAAAAGATGTACAACCGATTATAGTCCCAAAGCTAAAGCCTCGTACTGATTCAAAACATAGGGGTGCAATGCAAACATAATTTTGTACACGTGTGTTTTAATTCGTGTTACAATGCTATCAACTTGCGAACTAAGTTCCTCAAATACATTTCTATTACGTGCCATTCAAATATGATAAACGGCACTAATAAGGGCAATTCTTTTAGATTTATGTATTATTTTTGTTGCACATAGAGATAGCAATGGGGCGGGTTCGGGGCGGGTACCCTCGCCCCACGCCATCCCACCACTCCCCCACCCCATCGTGCCCCGCCCCACTTTAGACTGGGCGGGTTCGGGGAGCGTGCTTTCCCCATTTCATGTCTCGTTTATTTATTTTTTATTTTTCAAAAACTTTCAATTAATTATTTTTTTGTTTTTAATTTGTAGTTAATTATTTTTTTTATTTTTCACGGGGCGGGTTCGGGGCGCTTCGGGTCCGAGACGAGTTTTTTTGCCATCACTAGTTACACTTAGATGTTGGCTTTGACATTTGAGAAGTATGTCTTATATGTGAATTAAGTAAGTAAAATAATTACAATGGAAAAATAAATCAATAATAAATGAGAAAATAAAGGAAAAAAAATAGTTCATCTTGTTTCTCATCCTATCTCTTCTTTCTTATTTTCAGCAGCGTCATGCCCACCTCACCATCCCAAAATCATTATTAGGTAAAATTGCACTTGTGATACTGAACCTTTGAAAATTGTGACCATGGGTCTTGAACATGTGATTTTTAGCGCCCCGAGTCTCAAAAACTACAAAGTTTGCATTTGAGGTCCTTTTGTAAAATCATCAATTTGATCGTTAAATGTCAAATTTTGAGTAAAATGATCATTTTACCTTTAATTGATTTGAGCAAATAAATAAATTTCACTTGTGGTCCCGAACCTTTGGAGATTGTAATAATGGAAATCCTCAACTTTTGATTTCTTGCACCATTAGTTCCGAACCTATAAAATCTTTGCAATGAATTCCTTTTGTGACGAAATTATCGTTTTAACAGTTATATGATCGATATATTGAGTAAAATGATCATCCTACTTCAACTTAATAAATTATAAAAAACAAAAACAAATTTCAATGAGAACACAAAAATCAGAATGTAATTCCTCCCCTCGCTCGTCACCTATCATGAAATCCATCTCCACACCGCCAATCTCACTTGTCCCAACCAATCAACCACCCATAAACCAACGGTGACCCCCCAGTGCCTCCTACGGTGTTACAAATCTTTCATTTTCATCAATTTCCTCAATGGGAAAATGAATCGGATATGAACTACTTGTCCGACAGCTATCACTTAGAATTGAAAGTAAAGATCGAAATGGTAATTGAAAAGGTGGAAATGGTGATTATGATTGTGACTACAACTTATCCTTTTCATTTTCATTTTCATTTTCCTATTCTAATTATCTTTTATGTCATATGAGTATCCAATGGATATCTTTAAAAAAATCTTAAGAATCATCGCAGATATTAAAGGGAAAAAAAAAATAATAAAAGAATGGTTGACAATTTAAGCATCACATCATTGCTTAGATTCGAAACTAATTCTGTGTCACAAAAAAAATAAAAAAATAAAAAAATTATTAAATCTTCTTTGTATTGATAACCTTTTTGAAAAACAAAACAAGCAAATTGTCCAATTGACAAAGAGAAATGAATCCAAGCATACATTTCCTAACAAAAAGGAGCAGTCCATAACCAAATGATGGTCATTTGGTTCCACATCCAGGAAGAAATAGTCACAACCCTCCATTATCAATGATCATTTGAAGGAAATTGCAAGATTGATGGCAGATAAAAACACAGTAATAGGGTTGAGTGATGTCAAGTCACATGTGGAGAGGTTGGTATAATGATAGTGGTGCTCACATTCTTGCCTCCTTTCTGTCTCTGTTATGATTCTCTGAATCGCACAACCGTTGACATTAATCCATTCGAATTATTGCTTAATATCCTTACAACTTTATGTTTTATCAAAAATGATAATTGTTAAACTGTGGAGATCTAATTATTAACGTTGTGCGAAGTCGTTATGCGGATCGATCACCTTCATAAGGTTGCCGTGGGAGTTGGATTGGTGCAGGGGCAAAGCTTCCAGATCAAAATTTCATTATGGATAGTTCCAGGGACGGTAGAAAAAAAAATCATGTGTAATTTTATTTTTTTACGTATTAGCCCGCCCTGTAATTCGGTCCTGATCCGTCCCTGGATAGTTCGATAGCAGGGAGTATCTAATGGTTTATCAGATATTTGAAAAGTTATTGCTATTAGGATTGATTATATAATTCAAATAAAATATTATGGATCAACTTGCTCCTCTTTAAAATTTAGGGACCGACTTGCTATTGGGATAATAAAAATCCATGACCAATCAAACAATTTCCAATAATTTCATTGTATTCTTTACAAGATTTTATATGCAATTTCACACACTCAAGTAATTCTGCCCGAATACTATTGTGGATCATGTCTATCGCACGTCTCACATCCAAATATATTTATACAAATTGACTGACTTGATCATTGGAATGCAATCGAATGCCTTCCCCATCTTTGGAGAAGACCATGTGTTCTAACGGTTTGTCCAAGTGTGTTGAAAAAAGATATCGTTGACGTGAGTGGAGCCGAAATCTGTTGCTATGTCATCAATACTGAAATCAAGGTCAACAACTTGGGCCCTCTTTCTCTTAACTTATTCACTAACTCGAATCTGAAATTAATCTGAACATACACGACTCAGTTCAACTCCAACCACACAATTAATCGTTTAACATACTATTCGATAAATAAGAATGTCCAAACGGAGAGCTTTAACAGGGCCCATTCGAGGAGATAAGTGGCGGTGTTCTGTTCATCCAATGCAATAGTAATCCACACACACAGATTACAGAATCATATTCGGCTAATGAAATTTGTTTTCTAGGCAAAATAAGTATAAGCAAACATGGCGTTATTCTATTAATGCATTTGGACCCCCACCTGAAACAATCCCGTTACTGATAGTAACCCCCACGTGACATTATTTACCTTAAAAAATAATAATACTTTCATTGCAATAACTATATAATTTGTATTTGTTTTATAAAAATCTCTTTTCCCTTGGAAAACACAGCATATTAGAGGTCCACCTGAAATTGGCTGAAGGAGCTTTTTCTTATTAAGGCCCTTTTTGGTTCACATTATTTTTTTCCTTCTCATTCTTCTATTCATTTTTAACTATACATTCTTCCGTAAAATAATATTTTCCATCACATCAATAACTTTTCCTTTTTTTTCAACCACATATTCCACATTACATCAACAGTAAAAATGCATTCTTACCTTCAAAATGTGCACCAAACGGGTGCTAAAATCAAACTAGACAGTACGGAAGGTCGACCCAGGACCCCATCCACCCAAACGGCCTATAGGAGATGTAACTTGAAATTATAATCATGACGCGATTGTAAAGATGTTCCTCATTGGGAGGGAACAACATTCACAACAACCAATGAAGTAGAAATCACGATGATTCGTCCCCATTGAATGCTCGAACCAATCCGTCTCTCCGAAGAGAATGGTAGCATAAAGGTTTAGGTTAGACATTATAGCTTAACATGACTAGGACGACAAGTTCCAATTTGTAGCCTATACGAGGGTATAAAGCCCAACAAAAAGGGTAGAGCTATCAAAAACCTACAATATTACTCTTATTGTAATTCCAGCAGATCACACCCTCGATATGCCCAAATTCCAGCAAATATGACATGATTATTCTAGTAAAAATTTCTTTAAGTTGATCTAAAAGTGTTACGTCATTTTTGATTATCAACATCATATAAAGCCTTCCATTAGTTCCCCTTATCTCCTTTTCCTCTTTAAGAGAGGGACGAGACTTGCACTCAAAATCAAAATCAATAACAATGCACTTATATTTAACTATATATTTAAACTTTTAGAGGAAAGACAAAATTATTTTGGGATAATTAAAAGTTCACATAATCAATAATTAAAAGTTTATAATATATCAATATTTTACCAAAAAGAAAATATTAAAAGCTAAGTTAGTAGGTGTTTGGTGNAGAGAAGGGGAGAGAGAGGCAGGCACGCAAGGTATTTGGAGGGTGTTTGGTGGGGATTAAAATTAGATTTTTAATAGATTGTGTATAAATTTTTGAAATGTGTGGTTGAAAAGTTGTGGGACTCATGAAATATGTGGTTTATATTGATTGTTTGACTTTGACTTAAATTAAAATCTGATTTTAATCCGAAACAAACATGACCTTAATTTCCTTAATAGTCCAAGTCTCCATAATAGACTACACGAGACATGTTGGGGAGAAGTTTGAGACTAGAATGATCAATAAAAATACTTCCAACTGCATCAAGACATTGCTAATGCAGCCTTATCTATGTTAACTTTTATGATAATTAAATAATAATTTTATCATTTTATATATCACATCGTTAATTTTTTGTTATTACAATAAACTCTATGTTAAAGTATTGA